AGAGTAAGAATAAAGACAGTGGTTTTCTAGGTGGTTCACATACCGTGGTTGGTGAAGAGGACTTCAGTTTTGGGGTAGCCCGGAACAGGCAGCACTGGCATGCTGGCCTGAGACCGTCCCGTTATTCCTAGTAGCACCAGGAGTGGCTGTCCCCCAGAACTCTGGTGTGGCCCCTAGGGCATAACTTCCTTTCTGGAAATCACCCTGGAACTTATTCAGAAGCACATTTTCTGGAAATCATTGGAATGGCCATCGGCAAACCTTTATCTGAGCCTGGAGCATGGCAGCGACACCTGAGCATTTTAGTCAAAACACCAAGGTCAGCAAAATGCAACGGATGGCGTGTGGATAGGTCAAGAGAAGGCAGCTTGGCCAAATAAATAATTACGGGGGGAAGGGAATATATATACCTGGGGCACTTTCTTCGGTGAGCACCCTACACGTTGAAGCAGTTTAGTATCTGCTCTACTGTCCTAGCTTGGCCGTGGATTTGCTTTGGCCCTTGATCTGGGGTGCTGTTTAAAGTGTAAAGTGAATGGGAATATTCACGGGAGGGAGGATCTTGTTAAAATGCAGATTCTGATTCAGTAGATCTTGGTGGGGCTGAGACTCCGCATCTCTCACCAGCTTCTGGGGAAGCCGATGCGGATGCGGGCAGTGCAGGGGAACACCCTTTGAGTATGAAGGACATGACACTTCTGGATTTTGGTTGCCTCACATGTAACACGGGACATTAGTACCTTCCTCCTAGAATGTAAAGATGTTAGAAGAGCACCTGCTGCAGAGTAAGCACTCGATAAACTGACTGTTTTTTTTTTATGAAAAATGGGAGCAATGAGAGCACCACCTTGAAGATCACGTGAGACTATGAAGGTCAAGTGCTCCACGTGAGGACTGATGCCTGGGAAGCATTGGCCGTGGACTTCCTATGTGCCCGGCCTTGGTGTGTTTTCTCGTTTAATTCCTGTCCCTCTGTGAGGTGGGTACTAATATCCTGCCCTCTTAGCACATGTGCAAACCAAGACTTAGCTTAAGAATCTTGCAGAAGACCACAAGTTTGCTAGGTGGTAGAGCTGGGATTTACACCCAGATCATGTGGCACCAAAATCTGTGAATTTAGTCACCAGCTGTAACTGTTACTGTTATTAGTGTTGTCTTTTTAAGTCCTCATAACCAAGGTGGGGTTTTATACCCATTTTATAGGAGAGAAAGCACTTTGGGGGACTATAGTAAACTTACCTAATGTCATATACACAATCTCTATCCCCTTCTCATGTACGAGGCACGCAGGTCAGAATCGGGGTCCTCCTCTCCTTGCCACAGACCCCCGTGTTTTTCATAAGGGTCTCTGACAACTGCTGAACAGTATTGGCGGTCCTTCTCATACCATGGGGGTGATTGAGAGAAGCCCTCCTTTCTCACCGTGGGACTTGCGCTTCTATTCCCTGCCGCCTGAACGCTGTGGAACAACAGAAAGAAAGCGCAGAGTGGAACTTTGCTGTGTTGCTTTGGAAAAGCGACTAACTCCTGTTAGGCATGCGTGGGCAATGGCCTGGATGGAGAAAGGTGGTACAATTCTAGACAGCTCGAAGAAATGGAGAGAATGCACGGACTCTGAGAGGGAGAGGTGCACGCGGGCCATTTGCTGGGGAGCCATAGTGTCCACACCAGTGGTGAAGTGAAGACACAGGTTTAGGCAGAAGGGAGAGTTGACTTGAGATGCAGAGACCTCAGGTGAGCCCACAGGTGTATCTGGAGCTGGGGTGGCCCTTCAGAGCCATAGGATGGGGCTTTCCCACTCCCACATGACTGGTCACTGCATGCACATTGTCCCTGGGGCAGGGCATGTGACTGTCGGGTTGGAGGGAGGGCGGTTCTGTCCAGCGGAGTGCAGTGCCTGGCCACTCAGCAGAGGGTTGTGAGCCACCAACACCCCAGCATCCAGGGGCACCAGTGACTCCACTCTGAAGGCAGAGCTGGGACTCAGACCACAGCACCCACTCCCGGGCAGCACATCATGTAGGCTAGCCGGTGCTGAGCTTGGCAGCATTATAAAAACAGCTACAACCTTGCTTCAAGAAGAAATGACCCCATAAACAAATGCAAAGTCTCTTTGTGAAATGATAATGATTTCATTAATGATTGCAACCAACCAAGGAGGCCCCACACTCCTGCCCAGCCCTAAGAGACTTCAAGCTCAATTATGGGGTGGGAAGAGAAAATAATGTAAAAGAGCTAAGGAGGTACTGTGTGTGCAAATTGTCAGCATGAAGTATTTCAGCCCTTTCAGCCCATTCTGGGTTTTCTCTTTCCAACTTATATCAAATGCGCTTGGGTACACACACATACACACACACACACTCACTCACACACACACACACACACACACACACAGAGTTAACCTTGGATATAACTTCTTTTTAGAAACATAAGCTCCTGAATCAACTCCAATAACAACTCCCTAGACTATCTTTGAAAGGAGCAGATGAATGAGTTTGACAGAAAACTTTTGCTTGAAATGTTCCCCTTTCTCAGATTACATAAATTTGAGGGGAAAACCTGCCAAGTGTTCAGTGATGCTCTGCATGGTGGTTCCTGGCAGGGACACTCTGTACCAGCAGCTAAATGAATGTTTTCCTGAAACACTGACTTATCGTTCTTTATCACTCGCTCTGTTTCCCCTTTCCTGTGCCACGGCCTTCTAGATGATCTGGGTAGGGGTAGAAAAAAAAAAAAAACCCAAACTTTTCTAGAACCATGGAAGATACTGCATATTGAGGTTGGCTGCTGAGAATTCACTTGGCTGATCAGACCACAGTGATGATGAACACAGCTCTTCAAAGCCATCTTATCAAGCCGAAAGTGGACACTGGGGGGGCAGGTCCTCACACTAGAGTGTCTGGACATTTAGGGCTGTTGCCTTGTGTTAGGAAGCTTCTCCCAGAGCAGAATGACCCATAGGACGGATTTAGTCACATATTCCCCAGCTGAAAACCCTTCTCTTGTGCTTAAAATGAATCCCAAACCCCCCTGGCTTGGCCTGCCAAGTTGCAGGTAGCCCAGGCCCTGCCCCCTTTCCCCACCTCATTTGGGGCATGCTCAAGCCCATTCTCTGTATACCCCGCCATGCTGATGACCCCCTGCAGGTCCCTCCAACAAGAGGAGGACTTTCCAAATCCACGGCCTCCACCCCTGCTTCCTAGAATGTTCTTCTCGCCCTTCAGTGGCACATTGCTTCTACAGGTCAGCTTCAAGGTCAAAGGCCGTCCCTGACCCTGCTCTTCCACTTATAAGCTCTGTCCTCCCAGTGTGCTCTTGCTTTTCCTCACTGGGTGTGCCTCTCAAAACTTGTAATTATTTATTTGCTTATTTCTTTGTTTATTATCTCTTTCCCACACACCAGACCCTCCTTCCTAAATCCGCAGGGCCCTGGTCACACCATTCCCCGTGTCAGGTCACAGTAGTTCTTTGGGAAATATTTGTCCCCCACCCAGAGCTTAAGTCCTCTGCTTCCTATTTTACAAAATATTTATAGATTTTAAAGGAAGGTGCTGTTTATGTAGAAATATCCCAGAAACATAGGATGGATGAGATGTGTTTTAGGCTGGGACATTCCAAACCCTTTTTGCAACTAATGGCTCCTTCCTCCTGTTCTCATGGTGGCTGAAGTATAATTTACATGCAGTATATTGTGCACATTTTAAATGCCTTTTACATATATATCCATCCATGGAGAGCTAGATGGAATGTTTGTCTAGAGCTTCCCTTGTGGGGAGGTTGGCAGGTGTCCCCTTCTCAGTCAATGCCTTCCAAAAGGTAACCACTATTATAATTTCTATCAGTATAGGTCACTTTTGACTGTTTCTGAACATCGTAAGTGGAGTCATACCTCACATATTCTTTCATGCCTATCTTTCTTTGCTGGTCTCAGGAATTGCTTTGTGATATTCCTTTGCGTGAATGTACCAGTGTATTGATTCATTCTAGAGTTAAAGGACACTTGGGTTGTATCCAGTTAATGGCTGTTGTAAGCAGTGATCTTGGGGACATCACTGTACAGGTATTTTGGTGGACATGAGAACTCTTATCTGCTGGGGAACTGCTTCCAGATAGGCATATGTTTGGGCTTCGTAGACACCACGAAACAGTGTTCCCAGGTGGCGGTACTGGTTTACTCCGTCTTGCTCCATATTGTCACCAGCACTTCGTACTTCCCCACACTCAACGTTTACCATTCTGATAGGCATGTGGTATACCTCCTTGGGTTTTGATTTGCATTTCTCTGATGCAAAATGAGGCTGAATACTTTTTTTAAATGTGTATGGGCCATATGGGTATTTCAGGCATGTGTGTGTGTATGTGTGAATTGTCTGTGTATGTGGAGTCCCTATTTAAAACATTTTGGCCATTTTCAAAAGATGGATTGTCTGTCTTTCTCTTATTGATTTGTAGGAGTTCATCTTATGTTTTGGTTAGGAGTTATTTAAGAACTATATGTATTGCAAATATCTTCCCCAGTCGGAGACTTTCCTTTTCACTCTCCTAATGATATAATTTGGTAAACAGATGCTCCTCATGACATACAATGTGCCCATCTTTTATTTTATGATAGTGCTTTTCGTGTTCTCCATAATAAAATTTTTCCTACTTTGGGTCTCTTCTAGTGTTTTAAAAAAGAATAGTGTGGGAGCGATGTTTAAAGAGGGTCCTTTGTACATTTGAAATGGCCCTCGGACCAAGGTGGTTGAGGCATGACAATAAAATAGTTCCCCTTATGAGAGCCCAACCCATCCCTTCAGACCTTGCTCAAATTCCCGTTCCTTCGTGAGATGGCTGCCAACCAGCTTCCCCCTTCGCTCCTTTCAATAAGCACTGAGCTAAGTTAATCCCATCTGTTGGTAACTTTTTAGAAAGACTATAGGCTGAATTGCGCTCTTCCACAATTACCACTCAAAAATAGCTCAGACGGACAGCACAGAAATTATACTACACGGACAAGAGTCATTCACCAGGTATATTTGAAGTCTAAGCTCTTTTGAGCTATACACATGCACAAATGATTCAGTTGGTGGAAATCTCCCCCTTCCCCTCCATATTTAAACTTTTCAAACGGAAAGTAGTGCTAAAGAGGTTTGCATAAGGTGCGTCATGGAAATGCTGAGGCAATTCTGACTTTCACAGTGCAGAGAGGCCCCCCGGAAACCAAGGACTCCCCGTTTCTTACCACTCTCCTGGGAAAAGTTTCTCTTTCCCTCTCCCCAAACCCAACCTAATGAAAGAACTACTTAACCTGAGACAGATTAACATGGAAACTTCGCAGTAAATCTCACCAAGACTAACCACTTAGGTCATCCACTCCACTGTGTTTTTATTTTGTGACTACACAGGATGGTCATTTCAACTTTGGCTAAATTCGGCTGGCAATGACTGATGGTATCTGCTTTAAAACACTTAAAAAATTATTTCCAAATATGTTTTCCTCATCCATGTTTCTTTAGAACCTGCGTTCTGAAAACTCTGAGTAGCTTAAAAAGTCAAATGACCCCCAGAAGCCTGCGAAGAGGGTCAGCACAAAACGGCTGGCTGAAGGCGGCCGTTCTCCATCAGTCTCAAGAGCTCAGAAAATATTTCCTCCACTAGAGGGCAGCATTCCTCCACTTTTAAGTCTAATCTTTCTTTTGCTAATGAAAAACCAAAAACCTCCACAGCAAAGTCAAGTCAAAGCATTTGCTTATTATACACTCCTCAGATTTTATTTTTAAAAGGAGCCTGCATTTCTTCTCATGGAGACTCAGGGTTTTACAAGCAACGCTGTCCTCAGTTTCACCTGTACTGTGTCCAGTACAATATTGCTATATTCACAGTAGAACGGACTTTTAATTTCTGAGTGATCAGTCTGTTGTAAGTTTCTGATGAAACTAACGTACACCTTAGTCAAAAACCACAACAATCCTTCCGTAAGATGGCTGTGTTAACTGTTCTCGCGTGTTTTTCTGAGGCTCGGGTAATGAAAGTATTTCCCCACTCCCTTGTAACTGGCATTTGCATCTAAAGTAATTCATTAATGTACAGGAGGAGATGAGGCCTTGCACATAGAGCAGAAGGTAATGGTTTTATAGGTGTATCTTCGGTAATGCACTTCGGGCTACAGAAATAGAAATATCACATGTGACGAAAACAAATGTTTTTGAGCAACATGGCCATTGCATGAGTAGGATTGGTATATGTTTGTTGATCTACCATCCTTTCCTTTTTCAAATACTCAGTGGCCGCTACATTCTGGCAATCTAGCTTCATCCAAATTGTCTACCACGGACACTTGCCTCTTCACTTTATTTAAAAACAAGTGTTCTTGATAGCAAAGATGTTGGCTAATCATTTATATATTGGCAGGAGAAGTTTTGTGCCCTTCCAAAATTCAGCATTATCCATAATAGAGCGTAATATTATCAGATTATCTGTATTAGTATATGAATGCATTCATAAGCAATGCACATATTGTTTTTAAGCAGCTAATGGCTGAACAATCACTAAATAAAAAACATCCAGATTTTAAAAGCACAGCTGAAACATTTGTACAAATATACAAAGAGAAAAAACAATCATTCAGACACCATGAAACTTTTGTAATAAATAGGTTTGTCTGAAATCGGTCTCTATCACCCTGGACAAGCCTCCCCCCTGAGTCTGGGAAAGTACTCTACGGAGGTGGTGTTCAAAATCTACGGAGGAATATCTTTGGGGCCAAGCTCAGTGTTGCCTCCAGGAATTTTAATAGAGCTATGAAGTACTGACTCAAAATAGTGGATATACCCAGACTTGTTGAGCTGGATGCTGCTGATCATTTTTCTAGTCTAGATAGGACATGGCTGGATGCTGACAATCTGTGAGTTGTAGTCTATCCTCGAATCATGAAAATAAATGCTGGTGATCATGCATGTCCTGGGAATGTTGGGGTGCAGAGGACTGAGTGAGACCAGACAGGGATACCTCATGCAGTCAAAGTCAAGTTTACGTATGGTCCTACTTAAGTGGCCAGGAAGAAACAACGCACACACGTCAGGACTGGGACCGAAACAGATCACAAACAACACGAGTGCTATTTGTTACTGACGTCTCTGGCTTGGCTCAACATGAGAGAATGAAGATATAGGCTGTGCTGAGACTTTGATAAGAAAATACTACCTTTTTTTCCTAGAACCCTCTAAACAATGGATTATTACTCGATGATATGAGTATGATATGATCAGGAAACTTATCACCTTTTCCTAGCCCTTTTGTCCGAGAGGCTTGATTACAAGGAAGGAATCTCAAACAACCAAACACCCAGGGATTGAAAGGCAATTATTTTTTTTTTCGACAAACAACCAACAGAGGGCAAGAAAGCATGATAAAGAGGAGACAGATATTATGGTAGAGGCGGAGCGGTGAGCTCAGTTGGACATGGAGGGTGGCAGGCCGGGACGCCGGGTTTGGATGATTTTTGGCTTTGGGGAAGTCTTTGGATCCTCTTCTTCCTCTATGTCACTGTCGCACACGTGCACGACGACACTTGGGGTGGACTCAGTTCCTGCATGGAGCTCGTACTTCTCTCCTGAAAGGCAAGAAAAAGGGGGATGATAAAGGGGAAGGGAGCTCAAAGCAGATTCTTTGGCAACGTCTGTTCTGGAAGTAAGGAGAACATTTTACAGGGTCTCAGGAAACCCGGGTGTTATCCGGGAACGGCACGGGGCATCGCAAAATGGAGTGAGATCGCTCGGTCCCTGTATCTCTACCACCTATCAACTGGACAACCTGCAACGGGCCACTCACTCTCTCGCAGCCTCCGCCTCCTCAACTGTAAACTTCCACATGGTCACAGTGACAGCCCACGGGATCGTGGTGATGGCTGAGTGGGTCTGGCAGCTAGTTCTCGGTTTCTCTTCTGTTTCCCATCATCGGTTGCTAATTGCTCAGTGACCTTGGCCCAATGGCTTCACTTCTTCACCTTCTCCCCAGGGCGGTCTCTGAAGTGTCCTCCAGCCGCACTCTTTAGTAGTAAGAGCTGCCCCAGGATGGACTAAGGCAGGATCATCCCTTGTCCGGGATTTGCGGTGGCGGGGGTTAGATGACTGTCAAGGTCCCTTCGAGTTCCAAGAGTCTGTCCTTCTTGACTGGCTCATCTTATAGCCAAATGGCTGTTAGCTGGCTGGCTTCCTGTCTTTGTTTCACTTCAGAAGGTATTTACTGAGCACTCCCCATGTTCTGGCCTATTGCCGTGATAAAGGCTACAGGTACACTAAAAAATATTTGTGTCTACCGCAAGAGCACAGGCCAGTGGCCACATGCAGAAACAGGAAGTACTACAAAATACCATGGGAAGCGCTAGCGTGGCAAGAGATGCCAAGGACTATGGCACCAAACTGTAAGGAGAAGGTAACACTGAAAGACTTCCTGGTGGAGGTGAAATTGACTTAGGTCTAAAAGACAAGTAGAAGACCTCCGGGTGGTCAGGCAGGAGGAGGGGGCATTCTCCATCTGCATGCTTTTCACTTCTCAACTTAACTGCTGACATACTCATCTTCACCTTCCCCTGACATCCCGCCCTTCACTCCCCATCCTTCACAAATGGGGAAAATCTAAATGCAGTGTCTCCCAGACATCCTCCTGGTCAGTGGCTTTCCAGGTCTCACCAGATCAAATCCTTGTTTCTCAGATTAGGACAGGAGACCCTGCACAATCTCTTACCATTCACTACAGCCGCATCCTCATACCTACTGATAAAGGAAATTTCCGACTTTAGTGTTTGTGGGCTCTGCTCCTGGTCTCCCAGGGAAGCTATCCTTTAACATTTACCAAGGCCAAAATGACTCGGCAAAACCTCAAAGCGTGGGCTTGTATTTCTGCCCTGAGCACACATTGTAAGTCCGCTTCCTTAAAAAACAAACAAACAAAGGAAACCAAGAAGGAGCATTCCAAATGTAAACATTAGAAAAACAAAAAACACCTCCCTGATTCCCATAAGATTAAGGTCAGATAGCCTTGCACATACTAAAAGCTTAAGATAAAATCTGTAACTATCTGGAATGTCCTTTGCTGTGATGTCTTGCAACTTTTTTTTTTTTTTAAGATTTTATTTATTTATTTGAGAGGGAGAGAAGGAGCAGGTGGGGAGTGGCAGAAGCTCCCCACTGAGCAGGGGGCCCGACTTGGGGCTCGATCCCAGGACCCTGAGATCACGACCTGAGGCGAAGGCAGACGCTTAACCGACTGAGCCACCCAGGCGCCCCTAATTTCTTTTTTTTTAATTCTTGTTTTTTAATCCCCTCAGTTTTCGGTACTTGGTTTTGTGGCAGGCCTAGCAAACTAATATAGCCATGTGCTGCTAAGAGTGTTCTCTTTCTGTCAAGAGTCCGAGAAATCCTTGTTGGACCGCCTTTGACATCCTGGGGTGTAGAGCAAAGGCTTTCCTGGGTGAGGGCAGGGATATTTCACAGAAATGGAGTGTTTCAGCTCCAGGATTTCGCTGGATATTGGCAGTAGCCAGAGGGACCGAACTAGCCAGAGCCCCTAAAGACCCTGCAATTTAAAGTCTAGATTTGGTGAACTTGTAGGTAGAGAGAATTGTGGCAGCAAGTATGAAATCTCTGGCATAAGTGGACCAGTTTGGATTCAGGAGAGGACAGTGACAAAACCAGGGGTTACGGAGAAGAACCAGGAAAGAGACACCTGCCTGAGTCACTGGAGCTCCGCTTTGCTTCCTTGATCCCCTCTGAAGTCCTTCTAAGGCCTATGCGCGCGGCTGTGGTGGACCTAGCAACGCTATTTACAGCTCATTGAATTGTGTTCCGTTCTCCTTTAAAGCATTTTGTCCCGTTTATCAAAATGTCGAGGGAAAAGAACCGCTTCAGCTATTTATTGCCAAGGAGCGGAATCTACAGGACATCAGCTCTTGCCTAAAAAGCGCCGGGCCCCAACTGGGCAGAGACCTGGTTGACGGCATCTTTGAGCCGCGCTTCTCAAATTTCTGACAGTTTACTGGAGGTGCTTGTTAAAATCAGAATTTACTGGGGGCGCTCCTCAGTGGCTCAGTCAGTGGAACGTCGGATTCTGGATTTCGGCTTGGGTCATGATCTCAGGGTGGTGAGATCGAGCCCCATGTCCTACTCTGCGCTGGGCAGGGAGCCCGCTTAAGATTCTCTCCTTCCCTCTCCCACAGCACCCCCCAATGAATGAATGAATGAATGAATGAATGAATAAATAACAGAGTGTACTGGTATGAGGCTGCAAAGCTGCAAATTCTGACTCGGTGACATCTCCTTTGGAACCCAGCACTGCCCCCCGCCCCGACGCACTTCCCTATGTTTCAGGGCGGCCGGTGTTACACGGGTTTGTGTGGCCGGCAGGAGGCTGCGATCCCGCTGGGGCGCTGGCCTGCACCTAACCTGCCTCCTCCCTCCCTCCATTCTGCATCGTCAGTTTTTCATGGGAAAGGGCCAACAGCACAGGTCAAGGGCAGAGGTAGGGAGCTGAGGACGCAGGAAGGAAAAGCAGCAGGGACTCCGTATCAGCCCCACGACCACCCCCAGCCAGCGGCACGATTTCATCAGTGGTCTTCTTTCTCATCTGTTTCTGGGAGAGCAACAAGCCCCTCGAATTTCCACAGGAAACGGTGATGAGTTTCTTCGTATCTGCGGTTTCCAAAATGTTCTCTTTCCTTTGGGGATGCCTTGCAATTCTGAAGGAGAGACGCTCTCCAACAAGAGACGGAGAAAGAGAGTAAACACATGGTGAGGTCATTCTTGTTGCAAACGGGATTTCTTCGAAGTTCTCCCAGTTTAGAGAGGAAACCGGAGTGGCTGCTGGAGCCCGGCGCCTTGCTGGGTGTGATGCAGGGTGAGGTGGTGGTGGTCTCGGGATGACAGGAGAGACAGAAGAGAACATAACTAGAACTAGTTACGTTCCCTGTCCCTCTATGTTTCCTTTCCAGCTATCACATTTCTCTGGGAGGTTCCATCTTCTAGGTGCCAGTCCGTAGAGTTGGTCATCCTGGAAGCTCCTCTGCCTTCCATCCATGGTAGTTAATCTGCCTGCAGCGAGCCTGCAGATGGTGGGGCCGGGGGTGGGGGGTGAAGGGGGGGCAGCGGGGACCCCAGCTAGGGGGCTGACCAGACACCCTGCCCCTTTCCTCATCTGTCGGCAAGAAGCTGGCTTTATATATATATTTATATTTATGTTTATATTGTAGTAAAATATACTTCATGAAGCTAGCCTTTTAATTAAGCCATTTGTTCGCCCTGGCTTGGATAAAGAACATTGCCTTAAAGATACCTCTAGTTGCAATGTGTTTACCAATTCAAACCTGAGCGCTTTCCTCTCCAGTCGGTGTGCTGAGGGCACACTCAGGATGGGGCGGGAAAGATGCTGGGCAACTCACGTTGTGGAGCCCGTCGAGCTAACAAAGTCAGTCAGGCTGCTTAGTAGTAGAGCTATTTTATTGCTGTGATCCCATTAACTCTGACATTTCACTGTTCTATTTTTGGAAACTTTCTTACTATCAAAATCCAGCAAAGCTCAACAGCTGCTAAGAGCCCCACAAAATAAAAAGAAGTAGCTTTGGTGTGGCTGGGTTGAAGTTTTCTTTTTTTAGCCTCTCTTTCCCTTTGGGCTTCAGCTAATTCCTCTACCATGAGGGCTGACGTCAATGCTGTCACCCTGCAGGGTGACCAACTGGGCTTGGCAGGGGACAAGGAGCCCGTGGGGGCCCTGTCCCCTCAGGGTGGGCTGGTGCTGCCACACTACACGGAGCATCGCCAGTGGAGCATTTCTTTGAAAGGACGAGCGAAGGGTCACCCATGACACTCCCAATCCTTACGTCTGTGTTCAAACCCTCCGCCACGTCCCGATTCCTGCAAGTCTGGAGGAAGTGGAGGTGTCCAAGGGCTGCTTCCTGCTCTCAGGAGGGGGACGGTCACACCCCTGTTCTGAGCAGGGGGCTGGGGGACAAGATGACGTGTGTGGGTGATCGCTGGTCCGAGTACCCCCGGAGGTTCCCCGTCACGCTGCCACCCTTGGCTTGTGGGCCAGGAGTTGGGCCCTTCTTGAATTCTCTCTAAAATAACCACTGTGATTATGCACGGTCTCTAAAAATCAGCATAATGAGATGTGGTACGGGCAGGGAGAGGTTACAGAGCTATATTTATGCACGTGACAGCAGAGCCGAGACGGTTCACATTCCTAATCAGAAAACTCTTGAGATAGAAGGAAAGGGTTTCCTTTCCTTGGGCAGGTCCTCATGTGAGCTGGAGCTCCAGGAGATGGAACCCCGTCCCAGAGGCTTTCAAAAGACCGGAGAGTTGAGCAGGCATGAGGTGATGGTCTGCTTTATGCCTCGCATGGCTGCCATTCTTCTCTGAAGAGTCTCTCTCTGGAGCATCATGAGCTCTCAATGTCTGTCTCTACAAGGTGGTATGTCCTCAGCCTGAACTCACACCTGCATCTGGCCTTATATGGGCATCTCTACAAAAATCTCCCACTCTTCTCCAAACTCACATATCCAAAGTAGAACTAGTTACGTTCCCTGTTCCTCTATGTTTCCTTTCCAGCTATCACATT